CTAAATTTATCAAAAGTAATAGGCTTTATGTTTCTTAAACTACATACATCTTTGAAGGTTCTTATGAAGTTTCAAACATATTCGTCCACTAGTTTTATTGTTGGAATGAAAAAAGCAAGACTTGCATTGCCTACTAAGAAAGTTAGTAGCCGGTAGTCATAGGGTTAAAGACACCAATAATTCCATCTTTTAGAGTACAATAGTTCATACAATCTTATTGTTTTTATCAACACGAGAATTTTTCTATCCACTTCTTAAAATTTCCAATATATCTACAAGAATAACACTTAATTAACTGAGAAAAAAAGAGGATCAACCAACAACCCTTATTAACTCTTTCAACCCAGGTTCGTTCCATGGGACCGACCTCATAACCATTTTGTGCTTGTTATAGTTTTCATGCTATAACTTTTAAATTAGTAAGTGAATGTTAACAAAATTTAGCAGTTTATCAGTAAACATTACAATGCTTTCATACACAAAATATCTATTTTTTTTATTAAGTTTTAAGGTTTGTAAAGCAATGTTTCTCTTATGCCTTTTTTTTTTCATTTAACATCTTGCCTATCTATCATACACAGTAATATTCATTTTAAGATTAAAAATACTTTTATGCAACAAAAAATTTTGAAATTTCACATGCAAAATCTTTATAATGTCTGGATAGTTATCAAACATTTATTAAGTAAAAACTTTATATTTTATCTGTTATTTTCAGTAATTAATTGCTGTACGTATTTGGTATATTTGATCAATCTCGCAACCAACATATAAAATTAGGAAAGCAATTTAAATTATGCCTCTTTCATTCTGGAATGAACACAAATTATAACATGAAAACATTAATGTTCAGACTAAATAGCTTAAATCTCATAACATTATACGTTTATATATTTTTATTATATTGACCTTTTAGCCATACCTGGCTAACAATATAGAAGTTAGAATCTAATGTGTGTAAAGTATCTTGTCTTGGCTGTATTTTAGTAGGCTAGTATTTTGTAAAACACAGTCACATTTCAATTATTATACATTATATACGTATATAGATTATTGCTGTATTGAAATAAGTTCTTAAACATATGTTTCCTAAAACATAGAACAGTAACTAAAGAAGTAAAACAAACAATTCTCTCTTCTAGTTATGACCTTTATACTCGGCTGCTGCTTGATGTAAGTTGCTAAGCCTTTAAAAATTTTGCACGTGGAGGACATGAAACAAAATATTTTTTTAGGTTTTATATATACTTTTGAATAACTAAAAAAATCATAAACTACTACATCAATACCATAGAATTCTACTATAATTTATCAATCGTAGTAACTAAGCTGTATTTGGGTAAAAAAAAATATGAAATTTCAAGCAGAC